ACATCTAATATTGAATAGAATATTTTGACTATTCCGACGTAAAAATTAAAACCTATAGGGCCGTTAACGCGTTAGCGTCAGAATTTGCGGTAAATATCCCTGCCATTGCACAGAAAGGATCTGGTTTTTGGGCCAATATTTGAATACTACACCTGTGTCTGGTTTACTTGAGCAACCAGAAACAACGCAATTAGTATACCCCATATTGTAGTTAATGGGCTGTATTTATGTGTGGTTCAAATCAGGAATTACTAAATAAGAACAATAAATTTGACTTCAAGCTCAAAGAAAATGGCGTCGATGGTCTTCCCTTTCGTGTGTGTTTGAAATGAAAGCCTTTACAACAAGGCGGTAAGGTGGTGGCGCTCGAATATGATTATTGTCATTCGTGTCTGTTTCCTTACTATAGTAAAGAAAGTGTTCATTCGGACGCAACCAGTCCAAAATGTTGTTGATGATTTGCTTGTTTTATTTAGAATTAGTGGTGAAAATAGAAATATTATGAGAAGGGGGTAAGGTGGCGGCGTTCGAAAAAAAGTAGTGTCACCCTAGTTCTGTGCATTGTAGCAAAGGAAGGGCTTGTTTGAACGTAGACTTTAGAGTTGTCTTCTTTCCTCTGAATTGGCTCGGCTCGGCCTGCTTGTTGCATGTAAAACTATCTTCATCTCTCTCGTGACGAGCCGAGCATCACCATAGAAACAGAGATTTCAATTTAAATTTGCAAAAAACTGAAAATTAAGTTTTTGATTAAACTTCGGGGGCCAATTTAAAATTAAAGTTTCTAATTTTTTTAAAAAAATTAAGAAAATCTATGGTCAGGTTTCTAATATCCCATAAAGGGCCATGTAAAACAATTGACTATCGCGGCAAAACGATGGTAGAAGACAACTCCGTGTCTAAAAATAAAGACGCCAGCTTGGCGCGGGGACCGTGACGGAGTTAACATTTGGCTTACTTTAATTGAATTTTCTTTTAAATTTGGATAAAAACCTGTCGTTTTCGATCGGGATTATATAGGTGGGATGTAAATAGGCCTACAGCCTTAGACATGTGAAGTTCCGAACATTTCATCCAGAAATATCGAATTTAGCCTCGGAGACACGATTTTGCACTCTATCGTGGAATCACCCCGTAATCCATTACAGAAATAGTGGTGTGATTTTACAGAAGATGTTAGTTTTACCGAAATTCTATGGTAAAATTACAAGTACCTGTAAAATTACAGATCTTCGGTCGTTTTCGCGAAAACTACTGTAAATTTACAAGCGTCTGTAAAAATCCCCACGTACTCTCGTAGTTTAACAGGCATTAGTAAAATTACAGATGCTCTGTAATGCAGTTTTTCAGATACTTTCTGTAATTTTCCGAACAAATAAGAAATACGGTTCCAATTGGCCAGAAAATATGTCCAGCGTTGAACGCCAGTGCGTTCAAACAGCGAACAGCGGGAAGAATCCTATTTTGTGGATAATGACGTACCAACATTAAGAGAGAACGCAGCAATCCGTAGGAAAAGTCGCGTGGACAGTAGGAAGCATGAGGTGGAGTACGGACGGGCTACCTGCATAGAGCGCGCCGTAGCGCAATGGGCAAGGCATCGGGCTCACGACCAGAAGGTCGGGGACTCGATTCCACCAAGAGTTGGAGCGATTAAGCAGTTTCACTAGAGAAATCTGTCAACGATTGACGATATGAAATAAATAGAACAAAGAAACAGCCGCTGAAAATATTTTTTCTTGCATATTTTACCTCAGAAAAATGTGGGTAAAAATTAAAGGAAACATCCTTTAACATTTTTACAGAAATATTTCGTATCAGTTTTACAGAAATTTTGTGGAGTTATTTTTACAAGTGTTCTGTGATTTACAAGCAGTGGTAATTTTACAAGACTTTCACTTGGCAACCAGTATACCTAGACTTTTTCTGTAAAATCTCCCCCAAAATTTTTAACAGTATCGTTACTGATTTCCTATATTGAGATAGGTTTGTTCGTTGAGGTTTGCTTAACGATTTTATTTACATCATCGTCCTCAGTCAAGGAGTTTTGAAAGTTTTGTACAGTTGAAAATTGTATTCTCTTTGCTTTCATTCACTGAAAAGGTGGCCTTCTAACTTTTTACATCTATAGTGCATAATTTAGGCATATGGCTCTATTCTGAAGAGAAACATCTACATTAATGGAGTTACTATTTCATTCAGGTTTGAACTTCGCCTGAAAGTACTAACAACTGTGAGCAGGCAATATATTATTTTGGCAGTTACCTGAGAGGCGGTTGCTCTGTTTTGTTTTGGGATACAGTAATATTAATGAATATAATACTTGAAATAATTTAACCAGATTGTTTTATTGAACACTTTCTTTTCCTTGAGCTCAGCCAACAGTCCCTGACTGCAACTAGTTTATGTTTTCTTTACATCACAGCCCTGTATAAAAGGTTGATGCCTGTTGTTCTTCCCTTTCTCTTTTTTGTTTCAACTGCTCCTTGATTCTATACTTTTTTTTACTACCACTCTTGGACCTGACCTTCCTCACGCCGGTTAGACATCTGTCATCTGTGTGTAATATTGTAATCGTGTATATATACAATTTTGTATGTGTGATATTAAATGGTTTTTGGTATAGCGATGTGAATTGCTTATTATTTACTGCCTTATCAAATTGAGAATGTTCACTAAACACATACAAGGTATGGACACGTTTTAACAGATCCCCATAATCCTCGCCATAATCCATCCCTTCATCTCTCCATCCCAGATCATCCCGCGACGGATGTCGTTACACGGTAAAAACGAAGGCCCATTTTCTGAGCGAAAAGGGAAAACTTTGAGGGAGTCATAACTTTGAGGAATGTTTCTTGAAAAATAAGAACGACCCTCAAAGTAAGTCACAAATTTTGAGGAAGTCTCTCAAAGTTAGCGTGGCTGCTGCTGCGCCCACCTCGCTACTTTAGAGCTTTGTAACAACTGCTCAAATTGTCAGTTGGTCAAAATTAATGTGTTTCTCTTAGTTTTAGAGCTACGGACCTCGTCCTGCAAAGTTTGATGTGTGTCCGATGAGAAAAAACGAAACAGCTTTTTTGAATGGTTTACGTGCTTTCAGACGTACTTGCACACGTAAATCATTCAAAAAATCAGTTTCATGTCTTCTCATTGTACATACATCAAACTTTGCAGGACGAGTTCCACAGCTCTAAAACTAAGAGAAACACATTTAATTTGACCAACTGACAATTTGATCAGTTGTAACAAAGCTCTAAAGTAGCGAGGTGGGCGCAGCAGCAGCCACTCTAACTTTTAGGGACTTCCTCAAAATTTGTGACTTACTTTGAGGGTAGTTCTTATTTTTCAAGAAAGATCCCTCAAAGTTACTGACTCCCTCAAAGTTTTCCCTTTTCCCTCAAAAAATGGGACTTCGTTTTTACCGTGTTACCTTGGCTGAGCAAGAGATAGAGATAAAGATATTTTCTAGAGATATTCTATAGAGAGAGCTATATTTAGAGATAGGCTGTCTGTCAAACAGTCTTCAAACTTGACTTTTTGCCATTGTTTTAAGTACTTATATCCACCTCTAGCTCTGAGACGATGAAAGATACGGAAAATCTAAAGGCAGTATACGATTCAAAATGTGCTGTTTGTTTTTTGTAGT